TTCGAGGTTGGATAAGGGCAAAGGACACGCTTACAGAGTTGCTAATTATCATCTTATTTTTAGTCTTTTGTCTAGCAGTGTCGTGTCGATCTTTTGTAACTTAACCTGGTATGAGGTGAGTTAGAACTTAAGTTAATTTTTGGGCGATTCAAAGACTTCCGCTGTAAACGTTTCAAACGGTTTTATTTTAGCCGTCTTTTGAAGTATTTATTTAGGAATATGTTTCAAATTACGTAACATTTTCAAAAAAAAAAATGAGGGTGTTACACTTCTCTCACTACTTGTAATATTTGGTTTCAGTATCCAAGTTGATCAGATACTAATGTAACTTGGAAAGGGAAAATTCGGGGTTAGTGTTTGGCATTCAAGGATCGGAAAGGAATCAATCTATGATTCTTTCTTTAGTATATATATATATATATATATATATATGTGTGTGTGTGTGTGTGTGTGTATGTGTGTGTGTGGAAGTAAATTATTTTAAAATGGGGAAGTTTACTATGCACTTGCTATAAAGTGCATTTTAACGGTGAGAGGTTACTGATTTTGTTAGATTTACAGTTTTCTTTCAAAAAGCTTAGGTGATCAAAGTACTAAAGCAGGTCCTAGAATTGAATTCAAAGGCAAAAGGTGAGTTTTATTGTTTTCCGTATGTACGGTTATCATATGCACATGATACAATTCAATTCAATATTAGTTTATGATTGTCTAAATGTGATTCAATTGCATTTGAATGTCGCTACTTCATCGCCCGTTTAATCTTTAAGAACAAAACTCACCGCACAAAGCAGTGTCCGGATGAGACCTCTCATCGGACAAAGCAGTGTCCGAATAAGACCCTTTACCGGTCAAGCAGTGTCCAGATACATGGCTCACCGGCTAAAGCATTTTTTTCGAATGAGGTACCTTCACTGGACAAAACAGTGTCCGAACATAATTCTTCTCCTGTTAAAGAGTTGTCCGGATAGGAATCAGCACCGGACAAGGCAATGTCTGGACATGACCATATAACCCTTCACCGGACACAGTGTTGTCCGGATAAAATCAAGCTTGTCCGTAAACCTCCTCTCCGGACATAGTAATGTCCGGACAGGTAACTGCGAGAGAATGTATGATGGAATATTATATTAAGATCCAGGTTTGATATATCTTGGGTTTTGAAATAAGTAATGTTTTGTATAAGATAAATTACTCACTAGGCCTTTTGGTCTAACGCTCAATTATTGTACTAATCTATTTTGCAGGCCGTCCATCATCTCAGGATAAAAGCAAAGGAAAAATGTAAAGAAGTGTTATTGAGAAGAAAGTATTATAACTGATAAAGTTTTTGTTAATCCATATTTTCTCTTGCCATGGAAACATACTTTGGAATGTATTTTGATTTATGATATGGAAGATTTGGTAATATATGATAAAGATTTTGTGAATTCGTACTATTATTTGCATGGTGGGTTGTTTCACTACTCTTTGTTTTAAGGAGAAAGACTCACTTTAACAAGTAAAGAGCACATTTATTTTTATCTTTATTTCTTGTAGCAAATCTTTTCGCATTGCTATTTGTAATCTTGTGTGTATCTTGGATTGTTTAGATAGGTTCTTTACCTTATCTCTTTCACAAACAATCTGTAAAATTTGTATTGATCTTCTTTATCAATATATCATTTTTTTTAAAGTGAAAGTTTTTGTTTTTGTATTCATCCCCCCTCTACAAACTGATAACCTATAAACTCTTGCAGATCTGGCTGGGACCAACAACTTCTTCTACATCTTTTCATCTTGGGGAGTTACAAATTTTGTAGAATATGATCTTCTTCCGGTCTCCACATCGATATCTAGAACTGAACCCGATTAGCCAAACCATTTTCCTTTTAAGAGGCTGACCCCTCTTCTCACCTTTTGAGTGGTCAATATACAAGTAAAAAAGTGTGATTACGGATATTTTTTCTTCTCAAGGATTCCCTTATCAACGATTATTGTCTAGTATTTTGTCCATGTAGCTCTAGAGCACCCTATCACCTTGTCTGCATTATAACAAGAAGGAAGTTTTGTTAAGGGGAAGTAATTTACAAAAGGGATTAACAAACAACAATCTTTCACAATATTTATTAAAATTGAAAAGGTTATAAGCTAAAATCTATATACCAGTTGAACCACATGCATAGAAAATGATATAACTTAAAGGCAATCTCTTTCTCGAGAATCTGAACATAATGAAGGATCTCTTGAAGACACTAATCTTTCTCATTTAGATGTCTGTAGAAAAAAATGTAACGGGAAAACTAAACTAAAAAGACTACTTAGAGAGAGCCAAGGAGCCCATTTTTTGTAAGACATGTATAACATACAAATCCTAGTGATATGTAGTATAGACAGATGTAGGATAAAAATTATGCATATATTGTATATGAATATCAATTAGCATGCTTAATTCAACTATAATAACTAAACTATTAAATAAATGAAAAGTGGTATACCAATTCTTGCAAGAGAGTCATGCTCTCAAATATGTCAAGCTTCTCTTGTGGATTTGTCGCAAGGCAGTGTAAGAAGAATCACAAGATAGGGATACAAACTACATCATTCATGATTCATTTAGTTTTAACTTAATCTCCTAGGTTCATATGTCCTTTTATGTTATTTGTAGAGATTGGAATTCAGGATGTTTTCTGAAAACAAACTAGAAACCACTTGGAGGTTCGTAATTCTTCATAAAATCACTTCCAAAAATCTGTAGGAATAAGCAAGCATGATAAATATCGCTTCTTATGGAGACAACAACTATAAACACAAAATACTAATGATGACAGAAAGTAAAAACATATTTAAGAACTTAGCAAAAGAGAAGAAGGACATGTTGCATATTATAAGACAACCAAAATGAAGAGTATTGTTGATCTCTTCAAGAATAACTAAGCAAAAGCAAAAGCATAAGCAGAAGCTAAATTTCTTGATTGTTGCACGACATCGATGATCGGTTAGGGGATGATTAGCCGGAGAGATATTGCATCGGTTGAAAGGGAGGGGAGGGGACTGGGATTAGGGTTTTGAAAATCATAGTGCAAGGAAGTGGGCAGGAATTTGAGGGGAGTGGGTAGTGGTTTAGATACCAGGGCTCAGACAATTAAGGGGAGGGATGTAGGAAATAAATAGTTAATTCAGCTTTTAAAGTCATACAAAGAGGATACACCTTTTAATTTTCTAACATGTAACCGTTTAAGCTACTTATATATAGTATATAGATAGATAAAACGTATAAAATGAAAATGCATGAATATAAAACAAATTAATTCGTAGATATTCATGATATTTAATAATATTATTAAATAAAAACATATTCAATATTAGGCTCAATTTGAAGGTATTCACGAAACGATTATAATGATATAATTTGTAAAAAAAACGTATTTTTTAAATTTATTTTACTTAATAGACGATTATTTATGTTAATATGATAAATGTGTAAAATGAAAAATGAAAAAGTAAGGGACATAAACTAAATCAAATCACTAATTATAAGGATATATAATGTAATTTTGAAATTGAAAATGATTTGGTGGAAGAATGTAAGAGGTTATAAGTTGTATCCTTCATTGATTGTACCTAAAGCTTAAAAGGATTGTAACTGCAAAATAAACAATTTGAAGGGCTCAGATCTAATCTCAAGATTAATTTAAACAGCTAAGGTTCAATCGACGGTTTTTTAACTCATCGTGGTCAATATCTATACTATATTATAAAGCATTTGACAAAAACTCTTAAAAACCATTTTTTATGCATGGAGTACTGTTTATTGATGCGTATTACTTAAAATTCATGATTACAAGTAAATTGTACGTAAGTACAACTTATTAAAGTTTCATATTTGAATTCGTGTTACTAACTGCAGATAAACATAATCAAATACAGGATAAACATCTCATTTTAAATATAAAAAATCTAAAATATAATTAGGATAATCATTGAGTTCTAACAGAACACTTAATTATTATTTTTTATAAAAAAAATATATAATTTATCCTAAATTAAATTACTTCGTTACTAAACCTAAATTAAATTATAATAAAAAAGTTGGATTAAAGAAATTACACAAAAAACAAGATTTTTAAATAATTAATTTGATACTAATATCGATATATATTTTTTCAATTTTTATGTTATTTTCAAATTTATATTTTATTCAAAAATAAAAAAAACATTATCATTTTTTTAAAAACATATAAAATCATATTATATCAACATAAAAAAATAATAAAATGAAACATTGAAATCGAGATGTATCTCAATGCATTGCATGAGTACTCTTCTAGTTATATACAATGAGGCGACAAGTGGGGAGATGTCATTGAATGCGAGAAGTTTGAATGCTGTAAGATTCAGAAACAATAAAATTAGTTTAAGTTTTTTTTTTCACCTTAAAACCTTTTTAATCGGTTACAATTAGTTTTTTGTTTAAAAAAAATACATAACTTATTTTTAAAAGTTTCATGGTTTATTTTATAAAAAATCATTTAAATATTTGCTCATTTAAAGTAAAAAAATAATAGTTTTTATGAAAAAATAATAGTTTTTATGAAAAAATAATAATTTAAAAACTTAATTATTTAACATAGAACTGTCAACATTACAAGGTGGTGCCATCTGTCCAAACTAACTCCCCTTCCCCCTTCCAAGTTAGCATATTCATCATCGTGTTTGAAATTGCTTATAAAATTAATTTATTGACTTATTTTAATATGGTATCGATAATAAGTATTTTTTAGTGTTTAAATAAATAATTTATATTAATAAAATTTATTCAAAAAAATTAAACCATTCTAACTTATAATTAATTAATAAAAAAATTTATAAATAAAATAATAAATTTCAAATAAACAATCTCAAACACATTCACCTACCACTTAACTCTCCTTTGAAAGTCCTTCGCGTCAAGGGTGATTTATGTTAATATGTTTTTTTGTTAGTTCAGGACTTCAGGTTAAGGAATTACAATCAATGCGGCAATGGAGCGTGAAATTGTCAGGTTCTTGCAGAAGTGCAAGAGCATCAATCATTTAAAGCAAATCCATCTCCGAATACTCATCAATGGCCTCGAAGACAACAAGAGTATACTGCATAACCTCATCACTGTTTCGTCTGACCTCATTTCACTTGATTATGCTTTCAACGTGCTTCAGTCTTCGAATTCTTCTGACGTTGTTGCTTACAACACAATGATCAAATGCTTTGCTGGTGGGAGAAGAAAATTTTCAGCACATAATGCAACCATTGCTTACAAAGAAATGAGGAGAAAAGAGTTTTTAGTATTACCGAACAGTTTCACCTTCACTTTTCTTCTGAGATGTTTCGATGTTTTGGATGTTGGTAGAATGATTCATGGGGAAATTTTGAAGATGGGATTTGATGTTTGGAGCGTGTTTGTTGGAAACACCCTTTTGAATTTCTACGGTAAACATGGTACTCTTGGTGTTGATTTGGCATGCAAATTGTTCGATGATATGCCTGAGAGAGATGCTGTGTCTTGGAATACTATGATTGGGATGTATATGGATTGTGGACAAGTTGAATCAGCTATTAGGTTGTTTGAATCGATGCCGGAAAAGACTGTTGTGACATGGAATTCTGTTATCACTGGGTTGGCAAAGAACGGAAAGATGGAATCTGCCCGTTTGGTGTTTGACAAAATGCCAGAGAAAAATGAGGTTTCTTGGAACTGTGTGATATCTGGATATGTGAAGGCAGGTGATTTGGCAAACGCGGAGACCATTTTTAAGGAGATGCCAATAAAGTCTGTGGTAACATGTACTGCAATCATATCAGGATATGCTTCAATTGGAGATATTGAATCTGCAAGAAAACTGTTTGATCAGATGGGAAGCAAAAGAAATATTGTTACTTGGAACGCTATGATTGCTGGCTATGTCAATCAAAGTATATTTGATGAAGCTCTTTCTGTGTTTCGTTTGATGCTATTCGATGGCAAATGCAGACCTGATCAGATTACTTTGATTAGTGTCCTATCTGCCTGTTCTCACTTGGGTTCTCTTGAAAATGGAAAATGGATAAGCTCTTATATCAACAAAAACAAGATAAATTTGTCAACCCCTTTAGGAAATGCACTGATAGACATGTTTGCAAAATGTGGCGATATCGAAAGCAGTAAAGCAGTTTTCCATCGGATGTCCAACAGATGTATAATCACTTGGACAACAATGCTGTCCGGCTTGGCTGTTAATGGGATGTGTAAAGAAGCCTTGGCATTGTTCAACAAGATGTGCGATGATGGAACGAAACCAGATGATGTCATGTTCATCGCTGTTCTATCAGCTTGCAACCATGGAGGGCTGGTGGAAGAGGGTAAAATTTTATTTAAAAAAATGGTACACGATTTTGGCATTGAACCACAAATCGAGCATTATGGATGCATCATTGATCTTCTAGCTCGATCTGGGGAGTTGGATGAAGCAGTCAGATTGACAGAAAACATGCACTTGCCGCCTAATGTGGTGATTTGGGCTGCATTAACCAGCGCCTGTAAGGTACATGGAAATGGTAAGTTGTTTAATTACGTAACCAAGAAAGTATTAGATCAAGAACCATCAAATCCTAGCTATTTGACACTAATTACAAATTTGAGTTCATCAATTGGAAAGTGGCAAGAGACTTTGAGGTTTAGGAGGGTAATGAGACAGCAAGGAATTGAAAAGGTTCCAGGTTGTAGCTTAATAGAAATAGGGGATACTGTTCATGAGTTTGTAGCTAGAGATACAAGTCATATGCACAGGAGTGATATCTATGCAATCTTGGAATCTTTAAACGGTCATCTGTCGTCACATTGTGATTTGAAGTGTGGGTTTACTGGTCAGAAATCCTAAAGTTTGCCCTAAGTAAAATGGTTTTTAATTGCTTGATTATAATGTTCTATTTACTACACTTTATAAGCAATACTGGAGAAGAGCTGAACATAACTTTAGGGACCCTCTTCAAAATCTCAAATATAACATGCTAAGGAACGACCCTGAAGTTATAAGACATACCCCATCGGTATTTGGCTTGGCCATGACCAAAATATATGAGCGTAGCGTAGTGTATTGCTTTATGAAAAATGAATCTTGTATGTGTTTCGTACATAGATCATGTAATGAGATATATATACCGGGGGGAATTATACACTTTGTTAAAATGTGACAACTCGGTCATTATGAAGCAACATGTTTCATGTGTACTGATTGTTTAGATTCTGGTAACACATGATTTTCAAGTGTAGTCACATGCAAGGAAATGAATGTTAGGGTAGTACGAACTTCATGGACGTGTCACCAATTTGTCATCATGAAGCAACAAACTTCCATGTGTTAGCCATAAAGCTTGTGGAGTACTGGTTGAGATCCTGGGGGATGTGGTGGAATATCTTATCTGTTCAAGGTTCGATTTCAGTCGTATACAACCATTGTGGCCACTGGATTTAGTAGGACGGATTTCTTATTGTCACAATTTGTCGGAATTAGTCAAGACATTGCCAGGACACCATTCAAAAAAGTAAAACTTCCATATGTTTCACTACCAAAAAACCCACTTTTTCCGTTTTCCGGCGGATTTCCGGCGGATTTGGCCGCCGGAAAAAAGGGCGCCGGTGATTGTTTTTCCGGTGGCTTTTCCGGCGGATTTTTCCCGTTTCCGGCGGATTACAGCCGCCGGAAAATCTTCGCCCGTTTTTTTTTAAAATCTTGATTAACTTAAAAAGTAATTAATTTTTTTTAAAAAAAATTCCGGCGGATATTTCCGCCGGAAATCCGCCGGAAACATTTCCCGCCGGAAAAATAATATTTTAAAAAAAATTTAATTTTTTTTTAAAATAATATTTTAAGAAAGATTTAATTTTTTAAAAAAAAATACCGGCGGATAAATCCGCCGGAAAAATATATATATATTAAATATTTTCTTTAAAAAATAATATTTTAAAAAAGATTTAATTTTAAAAAAAAAAAAATACGGGCAAATTTATTTTTTAAATTATTGATGTGTAGATGTGTAGGGAGAGAGAGCAAACAAACTTGTTGGTTTTACACAAAGAGGGTGTAATGAAGAGTTATGTATTAGATTTCTAGTTTAGCCTACACAAATGACAAGATTTTAAAGATGGAAACAAAAAAGATGAACAAAATAAACCAATATCAAGAATCTTTTCTATTCATCATCAGCTACCACTTCAACCTCCTTTACTTTATCACCATCATCATCATCATTTGATTCCCTTTCCTGTGAATCAACCAATGCATACCATAATTGGTTATTGCTCATGTGATCATAACACATAGCAGAGATACATAATCAAAAGGTACTTACAACCTTTTCATTTTCAGCATCAATTTTTTTTAAAGGCATTTTCAACATCAATTGGAGTCTGCAAAGCATTTAGATAATCTTCTTTAAGCTCAGCTACCCTTTCAGTGTAAGGCTTCTTTTCCTGATTTTCAAAAATGAACATTCCTTTAGGTAACACAAGATAAAAGACAAATGGGTTTAAGGTACAAAGATTACCACAGAAACTTTCTTGTTATCTGGATTTGCTGCCTTGAATGTTACCCTAAATTCCTCCCTACACCACAACAAGTAATCATTCCCATCAATCACATGTAAGTAGCATGAATAACCATAGTCATGATCTGAATAAAAAAGCATGGCATTACATGAAGAGAAAGAATGCAGTTGGTGGCTTTTTAGGTTTACTTGGGTCTTACTGTTTCCTCACTTTCTTTGCAGATTGTTCTTTTCCTGTTGATGGCTTCTTCCTACACAAGAATTCATCTGTTACAAACAAAACACAAAGAAAAACAGAAACCAAGATCGTATAATGGAAAAGTATAGATTAATTTTTTATCTGTAGCCTTTTTAACGACTGGATCATTAAGCGCTGCCATTTTTTGCTCGTTTGAGAGAAGTAGAAGCGGTATCTGCTTCCACCCTGTTTCTGGCTCGAGTTGCGTTGACGGATTTGGAGGTAGCATCACCAGCGCKCCCCATTGATGAAAGGTGGAAGGAAATCTGTGTATGTTTGTGGAAAAGGAAGGAGGTCATGAAAAGTTGTGCAAGAGGGTTTAAGAAGAGGGAAAGTAAATGAATTAAGCGCCAAAAATTGAAATTAACTTATACGGATTGCGAAGGTGGCAGAAACTCCGCCGTTAGATTTGCCAATTGCCATTGATTGCATATTTGCATTTTTAATTCAAGYTGTTGGATGAAAATAGATTATTTTTTAGTTAATCAATTAAATAAAATTGAAAAGTTAAATAAATTGAAAGTTGCCCGAAATGTATTTCATAGTTTGAAAGCGTTTGTAAGTAGGGCTGTAAACGAACCGAACGAACACGAACGAACCGAACGAACACGAACGGTGGCTTGTTCATGTTCGTTCGTTTAACTTAACCGAACAAACGAACGAATACGAACGGTAAACGAACGAAAATATTTGTGTTCGTGTTCGTTCGTTTAGAATTCAGGTGTGTTCGTGTTCGTTTATGTTCGTTCGTTAACATGCTAAACGAACGTAAACGAACGAACATAAACGAACGAGCTAAACGAACGGTTTACAGCCCTATTTATAAGTTAGTATTTGATATACATACCGGATGGGATGGAACTATACAGGTGTTCTCGAATTCACCTTTTATCGGATAAGTGTTTGGCAAACGGTCTGTTAATGTCCAATACGGTCCGTTAAGGCCCAATACGGTTCATTACAGCCCAATACGGTTCATTACAGCCCAATACGGTTCATTAGAGCCCAATACGGTTCATTACAACCCAATACGATCCGGCAAAGCCCAATACGGTTCATTAGAACAAATACGATCCATTACGGTTCATTAAGGCCCAATACGGTTCATTAAGGCCCAATACGGTCCGTTAATGTCCAATACGGTCCGTTAAAACCCAATACGGTTCATTAGAGCCCAATACGGTTCATTAGAGCCCAATACTGTTCATTAAAGCCCAATACGGTTCATTAGAGCCCAATACGGTTCATTAGAGCCCAATACAGTTCATTAAAGCCCAATACAGTTCAGTAAGCCCAATACGGTTCATTAGAGCCCAATACGGTCCATTAAAGCCCAATACGGTCCGTTAAGGCCCAATACAGTCTGTTAAAGCAAATACGATCCATTAATGTCCAATACGATCCGTTAAAGCCCAATACGGTCCGTTAAAGCCCAATACGATCCATTAAAGCAAATACAATCCATTAAGGCCCAATACGGTCCATTAAAACAAATACGATCCATTAAGGCCCAATACGGTCCGTTAATGTCCAATACGGTTCATTAGAGTCCAATACGGTTTCATTTTATATTTTTAAAATTTTTTTTTTCTAAAAATATTTCCGGCGGATTTATTTTAAAATTTTTTTTAAATTTATTTTTCTAAAAGGTTTTTTTTTATTTTTTAAAAATTATTTTTCTAAAACTATTTCCGGTGGATTTCCGGCGGAATTTTTTTAAAAAAATTTTAAAAATTTATTTTTCTAAAAGGTTTTTTTTATTTTTCAAAAATTATTTTTCTAAAACTATTTCCGGCGGATTTCCGGCGGATTTATTTTTTTAATTTTTTTTTAATTTTTTAAATTTCCGGCGGATTTTGTCCGCCGGAAAAATTTAAAAGATTTAAAAAAAAAATCTAAAATTTTTTCCGGCGGATTTCCGGCGGATTTATTTTTAAATTTTTTTAAAATTTATTTTTCTAAAAGGGTTTTTTTTTATTTTTTAAAAATTATTTTTCTAAAACTATTTCCGGCGGATTTATTTTTTTGAATTTTTAAACATTTCCGGCGGATCTTTCCGCCGGTAATCCGCCGGTAAAATCTTTTTCCATTTTTTTTCAAATATTAATTAATTTTTAAAGATTAATTAACCCTTAATTAATAAATCCGCCGGAAATCCGCCGGAAATCTGCCGGAAATATAATCGGTTTAAATTTTTCGGCGGAGTTCCGGCGGAAGTCAACAAAAGTTGACTTTTTTATATTCCGCCGGTAATCCGCCGGAAAATTTCCGGCGGAAATTGTCCGCCGGAAATTCCGCCGGAAATGCCCAGTTTTCTAGTAGTGTTTAAAAACTAAAAGAGTATTCGTGCAATGCAGCAAGACACATCTTGATTTTAATGTTTTATTTTATTATTTGTCTCTGCCGATGTTATAATACGATTTTATGTGTTTTTAAGAAAGTAATAATGATTTTATTTTTGAATAAAATATAAATTTGAAGATATCATAAAAATTTGGGAAAAAATATATTAATGTTAATATCAAATCAACTATTTAAAAATTCTCATTTTTTGTGTTTTTCTTTAATTTATTTTGTTATTATAAYTTAATTTAAGTTTAATAATAAAATAATTTATTTTTGGTTTAATAATATAACATTTTATAAAGATAATAATTAAATCTTATGTTAGAACTCAATGTTTATTCTAATTATATTTTAGATTAGATATATTTATCATGTATTTGACTATGTTTATCTGCAGTTAGTTACACGAATTCAGATATGGAGCTTTAATAAGTTATACTTACGCACAATCTACTTGTAATCTTGAGTTTTAAGTAATATGTATTAATAAACAGTATTTTACGCATAAAAAATAGTTTTTATGAGTTTTTGTCAAATGTTTTATAATATATTATACATATTCCCATAAAACATCATTTTCGAGGGAAGTCACATGCATGTAACATATACATGGACCCAAGGTTCTAAATGGCGTGCGTGAGTATGGTGTAGCAGCATAGTCAAGCCTGAAGCCTTATGAGTCACGACGCGGTCACTCCGGCGTTTCATAAGACGTGACTTATGTGGGCAAATTTATACATCCATATATGT